ATAACATAAACAACCTGCTGTATACTGATGACACAAGTAACAAGTCAAAATGAACAAGAAGCATTGCTAGACACGGTGGTGGAAGAAAGTGATAAAATGGGCCTCAGTTTGAATAATCGGAAGACATTAGTAATGGCGATTTCCAAGAAGAGAATAATGCCTAAATGTCTAATAAAAGTCAAAGGCGTTAGTTTAGAACAATGAATTCCAGAGAAATTTGACTAAAAAGCTCAACAAAATTGGAAAGAGGAAAACGTGCACAAAACAACACAACGTAACGTTTCGGCCAGGCAGCCTTTTTTTTCGATCAGCACTACCGCAGGCACGTGATCTGAAGGACAAGCGAGTGCATAAAGTTCATAACCCGGATGTGTTGTCAAGGCAATGAGTAGCTTTCTAGTCTGACGAGACTGGGGCGACGTTCTGCAAGGAACCTAGGGCCGTGGGGCGCTACAATAAAGAGATGCGGTAGCCTCAGGCGGCATCATAAAGGGGCGGCACAAGCAGCGAAATCAATTTTAGGGGCGGCATTTCGAAGATTTGCATCGTACCGAGAAAATCTACCGCACAGCCCTGAAACGATCTGCCACATGATGATGATTACTTTTTTTAATTCAGGTCATTAAAATCTCGTAACGAGGAACATATTTTGATTAGGGCACTGATGTAGGCTATATATTAGTTTCCCCGTTAGCAAGACAGTTTTTAAAAAAAAAAAAATTTTAGGTGCTTTGAAATTCGGGTCAGTTCCTGGATAATCTCCCCACGGAACGCGCATATACACACTAGCTCACTTCTAACTAGTCGACCTTCAGTTACAGGACCTTTGTACACTGCTACGTGAATGTTCGCTAACGCCGTTGATATCGCGTGTTGTATATTTAAGCACGCCAGCGCTTTTTAACAATACAAAAACGTGTCGAAACTGGGTCTAACACACAAGGGAGTGCTGCAGCCTATGTCACAGGCATTCTCTTTCTAGGAAGAAAAACGTAAATGCAAGACAAGCCAGAAAGGAAACAAACATAGCGGCAACCTGTAACCCCTATGAAAGCAGACCAGTCTAAAAATGTATGAATGAAACGTGACTTAGTTTGTTTGAGCAGATTATCATGGATCGCACCAAAATATGAACTATCTAGCTAGGCGATACCATGCAAGCCATTATCTTCTCTCTTCTTCTGCATTCGCTCGCTAGATTTCCCCGCAGAGATGTTGTAATCTCGGTATGCTCGAAACCTTCAAGTAGCAGCCCGGAGTGGCAAAATGAAGGGGACAGAGGATAACATTATCAGAAAGATTAATTCATTGAAGTTGAGGAAGGCGTCGACCTGCATGAAGCTGGACACGAGACATCAGAGGCACTATTGGCGTGAACATGCGTGAAGCCGGTAAAGAGACAAGGAGCAATGTTTATCTGATGGGCTGCGATGGGAAGGATGTTTTGAGAGAGCCTGCTGCAGAAAAAGTAAAAGGACCTTTTTCCATTCCTTAAGGCGTGTTGGGCATATAGGGCTAGACATATATTTTTAACAGCAGTTGGCACTTATGTGGTCAACATTACGCCGCCGCCTTTACTTCAAAGGACGTACCCATTTATGGCTGGGTCGACCTGGATGCCAGAGTCGTTAAAAAAAGTCCAGCTCAGTAAGGATGTGAACCTACGACCATTGCGATCTGCGGGCAAGTGTCTAGCCATTACACAGCGTGTGCGTTACAAAAAGATGATGTTAATTTCGCCACGAAGAAAACGCATCAGTTGACTTTTGTGCTCTCGAGTAACACAGCCTCCTTACACATGTTTCTTTACCTACTTTACACATGTTTCTTTACCTACTTTACACTCGCAGAAAGCGGATCTGAATTTCAAATGTCTTTCTGCGGTGGTGAAGTCGCACAGCAAGTCCTCTTGAGGAGATATGTACACCATGGTCAAGTCCTCTTGAGGAGATATGTACACCATGGT